AAAGGCTCTAAAAACCAGCACTAAAATAAGTTTTCTGTACTCAGTGCTACGGACCCATTCTGTTCATATCTAAAAGAAAGTACTGAGGTGTGATACCCAGTTGACTTTAACTTTATGATGTGCCCTCCTCTTATCTCAGATCATGTGGCTGCCCATGCTTGGAATGACCGCCCTGCCTCACCTGGGAGGGCTCTACGGCGGCTACATCACACGCAAAGAGGTGAAGACCTGGTACCCAACCCTGCAGAAACCATCGTGGCGCCCACCAAATGCAGCGTTCCCTGTGGTGTGGACCTGTCTGTATACAGGCATGGGGTAAGCATCATCTGGACTGCAGCATTTGTAGCCTCTTGTCTGTGACGCAGCCTCCTTCTGAACGCTCCTGTTTTCAATGTGGTTGTGCAGGTACGGCTCCTACCTGGTGTGGAAAGAGCTGGGAGGTTTCAAAGAGGATGCACTGGTTCCACTGGGACTTTATGGGCTGCAGCTTGCTCTCAACTGGACCTGGACTCCTATCTTCTTTGGTGCACACAAGCTGAAATTGGTAAGTTTAACACACCAACTATGTATATATCATAAAATATCCTACATCTGTGTCTTTATATAACTTATAACACTCTCTCTGCCCAATTTAGGCACTCATGGAGATTATCCTGCTCACTGGGACTGTCGGAGCCACCATGGTGTCTTGGTATCCCATCAGCCGCACTGCCACTCTGCTTATGGCACCCTACCTGTCCTGGCTGTGTCTCGCCACCGCTCTCAACTACTGCATATGGAGAGACAACCCTGAGAAGAAAGAGGAGTAGGAGACAGTTCTGTGTGCTTTGAAACAAACTACTCACATTTTGAATCGTTTGAACTGAACTGATATCTCTGAGGTTTAATACTAATATACACAACAATCAATATCTGCAAATGTGTTGATTAACAATTACATTAAACAAATCACAAGATAAGTTGAATGTTTGACTTTGTACAACCTGCCTTTGACCTACCGTCTTAATAGTTTATTAACCAAATTGATCTCTGATGTGCATTCATTCAAAGCTCTTAAAAACTTGCCAGTATATCATGCGTTGTTGTATTTGCTGTGTGAAGCCACTTTTATTTGTTTTTTATATAAAGAATCTCAAGAGTGCTGTGTTGTAGTTTCTGCTATAACTCAAATTAAAATAAAGATTTCTATACAATTTATCACCATAGTGAGTCTATTTATTTAGTCACAGCGGCCCACCACTTTAGTTTTTAAAGCCATAACATAACTAATAATAAAAATGTATCTCATAAGTTATGTGCTGTGAGGCGTACAGATTATATTTGTGGGAAAAGGAGAACACTTTGGATTGGTAGCTAGTATGAGAATTGTTATTGGGAGAGAGAAAGTTGGATCGGTGAAAACGTTTAAAGTAGATCTGGTTCTAAATTTAAAATAGATGAATTTTATTAAATTATAGGACACGTGTGCCAGTTTTCTTCATTTGAGTTAATTCAGTTGTTCATGAGAAAATAATGTAAATTTACAAGAACATCCTATGTTTAGAAATTCTTTTGTCCTCTGCCCGTGGCTTAAAATTAAAAACACTTTCTCAAGACAAACTACAGACAGTGGAGGTAAATATTATCTTGTAATTAATAAGTATATTAAGTGTAATTTATGTTTGCGACAGGAATAACCCTCCCTAAACACCCTTCTTTATATTTTGTTGTCTTGATCCCACCAAAGCTACCGGATACACAACCAACATCTGCAGAGTTTAAACAGTCCATTACAGTCGATCATAAAAAACACACAGCGGTCCATAAAGATACCAACAATAAGCTTTATTTCTATACATGCGAAAAGAAAGGAAAGAAAGGAAAGAAAGAGATAAAAAAGTTATTTTTCAGGAGCTTTCTCTGGAACGTCTTCTGGTGATTTGGAGAATCTCTCCATTAACGTCTTCCACAAACCCTTTTTTTCATCGTCCATCTGTTGCATACTCCCTGTACAAAAACAACAACAGATGACTGTAACAAAAGTGTGTTTTCATAAAGAGTCATGAGCATAAATGTGATTGATTTGCGGGTCCATACCTGACAAAAGGAGTTTACACTCTTCCACTGTAACTCCAGTAAAGCTTGTGTCTCTCACACGAGGAAACTGTGAACAAACACAGAGACAAGACGTGTTTGCATTAAATATGTTAAAGTTCAAGACTGGAGTACACTCATGGAATAGCTGAGTGAATACATTGTTTGGAGGAATACGTTTATACTCATTTTCTGCATGTTTAAAGTGTCAAAGCATGTGAGATGTGTGGATATATAGTGTACTTACTCGTTGTCGGTATACGTTTCCATTAATACGGGCTAAACTTTCATACATCTGGTCACACTTCTCTGGATCTGAGATCTGGTGGGAAAAACATACGAAATGGACAAATGTCAAATACTAAGAGCACAAATTCTGATTGAGAACAATGTGAACCTTTGGAAATTACAACTAAAGATGTTTTTACTACTCACATTTTATAAGAGAATACAACTATAGTAAATTATAAAAGTGGAAACAGATGAAAAGTACCATTTAAAAAAGCAGAAAACTAAAGTATAATCGTAATCGCTCCAGGCAGAACAATCTTTTACTCTTTGTAAGATAAATCTGACTGCCAAAAACTCATTTTATCATCATATTTTAAATAAAAATATATATTTTTAGATACAAATATTAACCTAAAAAGTACCTACTAACTATAAGCTGACCAACACATTGACAGGATGATAATATCGGCCAATTGTAACTTATTACAGCTGTATTTATACAGATGTGTTGGCCGACAAGAACTTAAAGTATATTTTTGTTTATGTGTTTGAAAAGAACAGCAGTCAGTATCAGATATTTTTAAAAACTCAATCATCGACATTAGTATTGACTTCATAAACCTGATATCGGTCGGTGAAGTAGTAGTGAAGTATTCAGCAAAGTAAAGAGCAACTGTACTAACTTGCATTTAAACACTTGAAAACACCAACAGCATGAGAAATCTGGTTCTGGCTGCCTTCCCAAGCTGGTTTGTTAAAGGTAAAGTTATGTGATAAAAGGTACAAACTCATAAACATTAGCATTATCTCCTCTAACGCCACTAATGTCTGACAGTTAATGTTCTTAGTGAATTAGCTCCGCAGGTGTCAATCAACGGCCGGGGCAGACAAGGTCGACGGCCGTTAGCCCTCCTAACGACGGTGACGCTACCTGTGTGTTTTCCCCCTCGCGGAAGGCTGAAGCGACTCTCTGCCCCAGAAAAGTTCCCAAATCACGGCCTTTCTTGAACTCGTCCCGCGGCCATTCCTCACACAGCTTCAGGAACCGACGGTACCTGGTAGCAGCCATCTTTCGGACATGTAACGCTAACGGAGGGCGTCTGAAAGTTTGAGCTTTATCGCGCACCGTACTTGTGTTACACCTAAAGTCTTCCTCCTCCGGTCGGTTCCCCTCGTTGCTGCTGTCGTCAACGCCGCACACACGTTAGCAAGATGAGCGGAGCAGACGGCAAAAAGGGCTCTTCCTCCGGGGTGGTGGAGTGGATCAGTTCAGCCTGTCGGTTTGCGACAGACAGAAACGACTTCAGAAGGTGAGCTGGAGAAAATAATGTGTGGAGTTAGAAGTGTTTGAACGGTGAGCTGTTAGCCCCCGAGCTAACGTTAGCGCACACTGCGAGGTTTGCCCTTGCCTCGTCCGAGTCTCTCTGGGTCTTTCTGGGACAGTCAAACCATGTTTCTGTCACTTTGTCACTGTCAAAGCTGGATTACCAACCGGGCAAAGTGTGCAGCTGCCCCCGGGGGACCCCTGAACTCCCCACGGCCTGCTGTATGTATGTGAGCTGGTAGTTTAGTTGATATTTAACTCTGGGAAATTGCAGCATTACAGTGATGTGTTCACTGACTTGACCTTTCGGGGTCCTGCTGTATTTACCTGGCTCCGGGACCCGGACCTGAACAGGGTCCTCTGGAAAAATGTAGTTTCTAAACATGAATTGTTTCGGTTTTGTGATAATATTGTGCTTATAAATGAGTTACTGGTGCACATGTCCTGCAGTAAGTAACAAGAAATTGTAATATATTTGCAAATATAATTTTTTAAACAGCCAAATGTTTTGACAAATCTCTCCGTCACATAAAAAAAAGAATGGATCCTCATTGACAACTACTGTACTGTACTGTACTGTGTGACCCCCTCCAGTCTGTATCTACAGTGTCACTGTAGTAAATGTAAATTAAATAAGTTATCTGATATCATTATAGGATTTAGTTTCAGAAATCTAGTACCAGTCAGACTATTGTATTTAAAATGAATGCAGAGAGCTGTACACAATGCACAGACAGTGGAAGAGGTTTAACTATAGTCACTGCGTAGTGCTGTAATATTTTTATTATCAGCTGACACTTGATATTTAGTTTTTTGGTGCCGTCTTGTGAGAATAAATCATCACATGTCGAATCTTTCTTTCTTTCTTTCCTAGGAATCTTCTGGTCAACCTGGGCTTGTTTGCAGCTGGTGTTTGGGTTGCAAGAAATCTCTCAGATTTTGACCTGATGTCTCCTCAGCCTGTGACATAACCTGGTGAAAATACGGCCACCAACACCGCCAGGATGATGGTGAGACCCTCATCTTTAACTAGAGCCAGAGGATGCTGCTTTTACATTCAGTTTACAGAACTATTTATTGGTTAAACTATGTGTGTAATGCTAACGTTATTTATCATACTGTACAAACATATGTAGACTGATGCATTATTTTAAGAGGTGTGTATATTTGTGATTGACTTGATCTGTTTGTTCCTTCTAGGTGTCTTGGACCAACAAAGAAGAAACAAGGGACATGAATTATGGGTCATAAAACATTTATGACCTGTTACACTTTGAAAATGAGTCATCTTGTCGACCTGAATTATCTTCACATTTCTGTAGAATAACTTGTTTCGTGTCAGTAGGTGGCCTGAAGAGAAATAATTACATTCATTCAGCTGTTCTGTTCTTGTTGTTGACCCATATAATAGCTTTATTTCATTTTTAAACTCTCATTACACGTCTAGTCACTGAAGTGTGTTGTCTTGGTACAGTTTTCTATTTAAATCGCGTGTCGTGTGATTTCTGCAGCTATGTCCACTCAGGAGCTCTTTGTTGCTGCAGCTCGTAAATGTCTGTCCGCTGGTAGAAAATCTCTGTCTGTCCCTCAGAGTCTGGACCTGGCTGCTCAGGTCTCGGCTGTTGATCTGGGACTGAAACCGGCTTTATTGTACGACAGCAACGGCGCCAGCGCGGACCAGGTGCAGCGGTATTTGAGCTCTTTGCAGTCTTCCCAGCTTGTGTCTGAATCACTTCTCACGCTGGATTTAAACGGAAACGCTCTCATTGTCAATCCGGTTACGGTCAGATCAAACGTAGAGCAGCTGTGTCGCGGTAGCAGCGTGGCTGTAATCGATGTCTGTCACTTGCTGGAGAAACCCACCGTCACTGACCCGCTCGGAGGAGAACTGAAGAGCATGATACACGGTTTACTGCTTCTCCTGAGAGGGTTGGACCGACTGAAGGAGGCTGAGAAACCTCATTATGTTGGAGAGAAATCAGAGGAATGGAACCTGTGCACAGTGTTTGGTCTTTTATTGGGTTACCCCGTCACTTACTGGTTTGATCAGACCAAGAGCTTCGAAAACTGCCTGTCTATGACTCCCCTGACGCTCACCACAGCTTCTGCAACATGGCAGGCCACAGGTCACAGATGTTGTCTGTACTCCTTCAGCGTTCCAGCTGTTCTGCTTCAGGAGATGCAGTCCAACCTGGAAAACTGGAGGTTTTGTTTACAACAGAGATTTCAGCAGCAAAATGTCCTAAAAGATCTTAAAGTGTGTCAGTCCGTGGTCACTCTGCCCTCCGTCTGTTTGTAGAATATGTGTGTTTACTTTGTAACTACATTAAAATGTGTCAAAACAGCTGTTTATTTCTGTGACTGTGCAGTGGTATTCAAACTCAGTGGCAGACTACTTTCAAAAGTGTTGCTTTCTACAAAGTGAGTAGTGTTTAAATTCTAGTATATAAAATCTTGTACTAAAAGTAATAAACTGTATGAGGAGAAATCTGATCTTACACTTGAATCTGAGGTAATTTATTTAATCACAGAACAAAACTGATTTGAAATTGGAATCCAGTCTAAATTAATACGATTAAAACTCGATAGTAGTACAGTAAGCTCCACAAAATGAATTTAAGTACTGTTACCTTTTACTAACAAAACAATTTAATAATATTTTTTGTGCATTTTGAGATGGCATAACGGGAATATCGCAGGTGTTCTTAATATTAATGCCTGTGTTGTTTTTATTTGTACCAGTTCCAAGACAAAACTATATCTGTTCTGTTTAACAACACAACACACAGAGGAAATGAAGGAACTGGAAAAAACAAACTGGCTCTTTGATTGGCAGTGACACTCCAACTCATTGACACGCAGTAGTGACATTCATCACATCATTTCCTGTTACTGTACCAGTGCACTGGTTTGGCTAACTAAGACACTTTAATGGTATGCATCCATTAATAATGTTATTAGTTCCACTTTCCTGCTATGAGTGGTCACATTTCATGCTGTAAAAAGGTCTATTGTAGTAAGCAGAATTAATTAAGTGAATCCTCTATCGCCACCCGTGGAGCACCAAGTTTGAGGTTAATTGATAATGTTTGGTGTGAGGGAACCAATTAATCATATTAGTCATTGAGTTACTTCAATACTGACAAACAGTGAGGACGTCAGAATGTAAATATTGTTTGGTTTAATGTACATTTATCGACACCTTTACAAGTTAATGTATAAAGTTCTTTAATGCTTTGAAATCCTTTATTTTAAATAATGTACAACATAAAGTAAAGGTTTTTTTTTGTCATTTCAAACATTTGCATCAGTTTTACATAAAACAAGATCAACTGCTTGACCGTTTGCTGCAAAGACTACTAGAGTTTGTAGCCTCTAGCATGTTACTTGTAGCCTACAGTCCCTTCTATTGACTATGTTAACATTTAAAATGTATACTTATCAACAATCTCAGCACCATTATATAAAAACATGAGATTAATCCATTCCAGGACAGCACAAACCCTTTAAAACCAGCTGACTGCACTATATTCTGTATAATTGCTTGAATTAGTTTCCAAAACGTTTTTAAACCCTCTTCTCTTGTGTCTTCCCTACTACCTGATTTTTAACAGATTGCATTTCCACAAACATACTGTAGTTTAGTTTCACAAACCAATTTTTCAATATAATACAGTGTCTCTCATAACGCAACAGTGAAAAGAGACAAACCATCTGGCTCGCTCCTCATTTCAGCTTCCCAGTTGTCATTTCACAGCCTGCAGCTTTCAGACAGTGAAACATGCTTCCTGTGTCACCCACTGCACATATTCTATGATATCAAAACACACATGACAAATACAGTACAGCTTGAGTCTGTATGTTTCTCCTGGCAGAGTAGATGTCTCTCTGTTTCTGTCGGACCAAGATATTGATCCTTTAACAATTATAATTTTAACATTCAATGGTTCTGCATAAAATAGGGCAAAGTAAGCTATGTCAGTTTTTACCCAACTTTGATAAAAGTGCCAAACACTTTGTTAACCTGTTTAAATCTGAGGTAGTTTTGACAACCGTTTGACCAGCTTAATGCACAATGTCCATGACAGTCAGAGAGATTGAATGACTGACAGCACTTCACCACAGCGGCCGCTCACTTTCAGCTCAGCCAGGTGGTCGGCCCTCGTGGGCCCAATGTTCAGGATGGCGACTGGCATTTTCCTATCACTCGCTGCCAGTAGAAACCTGTATCCTGAGTATACCTTGGGAAGAACAGAGAGGGACACGATTAAATACAAAAATACAGAAGAATTGTTTTGCAAACTCTAAGGTGTTTCAGATATTTTTTAAAAACCTACCTGCAACGATGAGCCCACGACTAACACCGCGTCCGACTCCACCAGTCTGTGGTGCACAAACTGTACAGTGGTTTTGTTCACAGTGTCTCCAAAAAACGTGACCTCCGGCTTCAGTATCCCCCCACAGTCCTCACAGGAGGGGACTCTGAAATGGAGCACCTGCTCGTCCTCTATGAAGACGTCACCGTCCGGAGCCACGGCGCCTGCCTGCGCTCTCCAGCCTGGGTTCAGAGCTACAAATCGCTTCTGGAGCTCCTCTCTCGCTGAGATGGCACCACAGCCAAGACACACCACCCTGAGGAAACATACATGAACTCCAGTATTTCATCTTCAAACACATTTTAGTAGATGTGGCCAGTGGATGGTGACTTACAGGGATAGTTCACCCAAATGACAACATGTTTTCTCTCTAGTGATGTCGTTAGTTGCACGTAGTTTTGGTTTTATTTGTCCGGATTTTAAAATATCTGTCTACGATTCAATGAAGGTGAATACATATGAATACATTCACAGCATTAAAACTTACTTAAAGTCCCCCTCCAGTTCAAAACACTGTTCTGTGTTTACATCTTGTGTCCAAAAGGAAAACTTTAGAAATGAACATTTGCATATTCATAGATTATGAAAATTTTAATTAGGTAGAAGGAGTAGATGACTTTTTTTTAAGTATTTGAATATGGAAATTATACTTTTNNAACATTTGCATATTCATAGATTCAACTCATTTTTATTAAGTTAGAAAGACTCGATGTGTTTTTAAGGGTTTTCTCCTTTCTTTTTTAAAAAGACAGTATCAGACACACAATATTGTTCCAAACAGAATGGAGGGATCTTTACAGAAACCTCACTGTGAACAGATTTCTTTGCAGCTACTTTATAAGGAAGAAACAGACCATATTAAACATGTTGACAGTGAGGTATGTTGACTATAGGAAACACTTTTTCTTTAAAAGACATTTGCTACTGAACAATTAATTCAAATTTTAAAATGTTGTTGGCACTACAAATGAAATCCCATTAATCTATATTGTATTTTAGGTGGCAGCGTGAATTTCAAAGGCAAATATCTCAAAATCTGCTCAAATAAAACCCAAACTATCTTATAGATTCTACAAATAATTCCTACTCTTATGGTTAATCATTTTTGTTTGACCCAAATCTAATGTCTTATCGTGCACCAGTTTTATCTGACTGATTTTTCCTCCAATAAAATCCTTTCCTGGTTTGTGTCACACTCCCTCACCTGTGTGCACAGCCGTGGAGCTCAGTCAGTCCTTTCTGCCCTGCCTTTGAATGGAGAGCATCCACATTCTGTGTAACCAGCCAGTGCAGCCGGCCCCTCTCCTCCCACCGCTGCAGGGCCCGGTGTGCAGCGTTGGGCTGATGGGAAGAAAACTGCGGCCACCCGACAAAGTTTCTGGCCCAGTAGCGCTGACGGGACTTTGCGCTGCGGACAAACTCCACATGCTGCATGGGCCGCCTGTCGGTGCGAGCGTACAGCCCGACACCCTCCGAGCGGTAATCGGGGATCCCTGACTCTGTGGAGAGGCCTGCTCCAGTGATAACAAACAGGCGTCTGGCTCGGGACACAAAGTCCTGCAGCAGCTCCAGGGAGTGGACATCAGTGGTGCTGCAGGAGGGGACGAAGCTGCTCACACCTGCGTGCACCGACGATGTCCTTCTTACAGGCGCTGTGTGCAGGGTGAGCATCCGCCGGGGCAACCTCATCTGCAGCCAGACAGACAGTCACAGTTACAGCCACAGACATATACAGTATATATATGATGTTATATATACTTTAGCTGTAAAGTGAATACTGACAGTCAGGTTAGTTCAGAAGCTAAAAGGCTACATGCTTTGACACTTGCTCAACACACACTTTAATAACAGTATAATGTTCCTATGAGCGTTGAAAGCTAACAAAACTTCAATATATTGAAACAGAAAGAGAAATACTGTAAACGAGCTGCTTCGGTTACAGTGTCTAACGTTGTTGAGTTACGTTAGTTTGTTACTTTACCGTATTTGTGAGTTACTGTGGCTACAAAGTGTTGGTTGAATAACATGACAAACCACAACAGGCTGATATAACATGGGAACGGTTGTCGGACGGTTACAGTGACAGCAACAGGAAATACCCGGTTTAACGTAACACCAAACACAGCCGCGCTGTACTCTGGGAGTTGTAGTAGCTTGTCGAGGCTTTTGTGAAGGAATTAAAATAGTCTGTGCAACCATATGAAATCAGGTTTATTCTTAATGACAAACTGTAGCCCAAAGGGATCAATATCCTTAAATAGAAATGATTATATAAACAGTAAACACGTAAATATAACATAATGAGATATCATAGGTGCATTTATATTTGAAATAAACATTTATATTAGCACACAAGAGTAACTTTGCACCAAAGTAACTGCATTACACTACTGGTACAAAACATACACTGGGTTAGACAATTGTTGTTGTCCTTGTACATTTTATCTTTTATATATATATATATATATTTATATTTATGTTCTTAATATATGTTGTATGTATATCTGGAGTTTGTAATTTCCCCTGAGGATTATTAAAGTATTTCTGATTCTGATAGTAGTAGTATAATGCAGTAGTCCGAGCTGTATTTAGCTGCAGTACATTTTGTTCCTGTGTGTTTTGTCCCAAAGCTTCAGAGACTTTCTGTAAACTGCAGAGGTCCCTTTAAAATATGTGTAAAAATGTATAGCATCCAAGAC